GAAGACGACAATATAAGAACACATCCAACAACAGAAAGACCACTAGAGTCTAGGGACTCCACACCAGCAAGACCTGGTGAAGCAGAAGACCTGGTGAAGCAGAAGAGAGCAACCTTAAAAACAACTTCATGCAGATGATAGAGACCCTAGGAGAGGAAATGAGTTGCTTTTCTTTGGATTACATTTTGAAGACGACAATATAAGAACACATCCAACAACAGAAAGACCACTAGAGTCTAGGGACTCCACACCAGCAAGACCTGGTGAAGCACAACACAGATGAAGCAGAAGAGAGCAACCTTAAAAACAACTTCATGCAGATGATAGAGACCCTAGGAGAGGAAATGAGAAAATCCTTCAGAGAAATGGAAGAAAAGACAAACCAAAAGAGACAAGAAATAAAGAAAAGCCAAGAAAATACAATTAAACAGCAGAAGGAAACAGTTCAAGACCTGAAAACTGAAATAGAGACAATAAAGAATTACCTTTGTCACTGTGGTAAAAATGGATAAAATCTTGGATTTAAATTGTATATCTCACTGTGTAGTAAACGTGAGTGGTTCTGCATCCATACGTTTGGAAATCAACAATTCAAATATGGAAAATATCTTTTTCTGTAATTTGCCTTTCAGTTTTTTCCCTTCTTAAATCACTGGAAAGTATATTTTGGTAATAATTTTTGCTTTGAAAGATTTTAATTTATGTAGCTGTTTAAAAATGTATGCATTTATCAGAATAACAAAGGGCAAACCTATCAGAATTACACTGGACTTCTCCATGGAAACTCTGAAAGCCAGAAGGACCTGGATAGATATTCTCCCAACTCTAAGAGAACACGATGCCAGCCCAGACAACTATACCCAGCAAAGCTTTCAATCACTATGAATGGAGTAAACAAGATATTCCACAACAAAACCAGATTTAAACAATAATATTTTAGAATTTTTTGTTTGCATGTGGGGGAACAATTTCTTGCTATATTGCTAGGCTGCCTCAAACTCACCATGTAGCGCAAGCTGCCCTCAAACTTGTAGTCCTGCTTCTGCTTTCTGAATGCTAGGATTAATAATCATATAATATCATGTTTGTCTAGAAGTACTTTTTAGTATGGTAAAGCATTATGCTTTTATGGGTTAAAAGCACAAAGTAAAACTTTGCAAAAGTTATTTATACTTACTGCCAACTGAAAAAATAAAAGACCCAAATCATTTTTCTTCTTAAAATCTTTTAGTCTCTTGTTCTCTCCATAAAATAGAGGATTATGTTTGTGTCTTTCAAAGGTCTATGCACTTTATAAATTACACCTTTGTACAAACTGATCAAAGTGCTGCATTGTCCTTGGTCGCTGTTCAGTCAAACTAGTTATTTTCTTCTTACTCTACTTTTGCTCTCTGTCATACACCCATCATTGTGTTTCTAACCTTCCAAAAAATAGGTGCATGATACTTGGTGGATGAATCTCTGTTTGGAGTGATAATAGGTGATGTTTGTAATTTAGTATTTAAAAGTTTTAGCCTAGGATATATCTACTTAATCATCAAGTGGGGAGGGGCACATTCTCCCATTCCAGAATTGGGACAGCCCAATAGATGAAATTGAAGTAATTAATATAAACTTGGAAATTAAATTTTCACCATGGAAATCAAGAGAATGTTTAGGGAAGTCAACTAGGTAAGCAGTTATATGTAGGTACCCATGAAAGAAGGAGTGTTAGTTTGGAGAAAAATGACCCATTTATATACTGGCCAGTGGTCACATAAGGCTATTCACTTCAGTCAGATCAAATTGTTTTACCTGCTGATAAGTTCTTATTACTATCTATCTGATCATATGCTGATGGTACCATTTTAGTTTTTCACTGTCACCACAGAAAATTACTTGAAACTAAAAATGTGTAATGTTAGAGAGTGGCTGTAACGTAGCAGGAGCCTAAAGATGAAAGAAAAGAACAAACTTTAGTAATGATATTGAGTATAAGAATCACATCTGAGAGTTACGTATTTACTAAAATCACACACATGGTAGAATTTACTTTTTGTCAAAGGTCTACTGAAGCTATATGAATTTTATCTAAGAATACATTTAGGAATAACATGTCTGTATACATATGTATGCAACAACAAAGATAAAAGTGGGTGTGAATTTGAAAAACAACAGGGTAGGATTTCATGGGGGGATTTGGAGGGAGGAACCAGAAGAGGAAATGATGGAATTATTTTACAATCTTTAAAAAATTTAAAAATTATAAATAATAAATTAAAAAAACGAATGAATGAATGACACAGCCAAACTGGTATCTCTATAGAATAGCCATGTTTCCTGATAAGTGGTCAGTAATTGCAAGTATAGAGAAGCCTACTGAGAAGATTTTATGGGTCAAGCTAGAGAAAACTTAGTTGACTAGAGTTCATATTTGTTGGCCATGACAATGAGTGTAAGCCCCCTCCTCTGTATGTCAATTCATATCCGTGCTAAGATGTAAAAATAGCATCTCAAAGATAATATTTATAGGTAAATTTCAGCATTTTCTTTATAAAGAAAAGAGAATGACAAGTATATGGCTTTTATTCAAACTGAGCAGAAAAGAATAGATTCCTTTCTTTTAAATTTCCTTGCAGGTATGAAACAATGAAAGCATGTATATGGTCATTATTCCAAAGCTATGGACTGATGTTAATGTGCTTATAGAATTGAGCCACTCCGGTTAAACAATTATAATAGCAACTTATTTGTATTTGGGCAAAGTGGTAAGCTAATGATGTAGGCGTTAATTTGAATTTAGTAGACATTTTAAATATAGGTTTCTTTTACAGAGATAAAAGTTGCAATTTAAAGCTCTTTGGTGGTCTAAAAACAGCTTAATTCTGTAGTAGCATTGTAATAAGTACTAATCCAGCTTATACAATGATTGTAGTATGCCATGTTTGTGAACGATTGCCCAACTGCTTTTTCTTGGCTTTATGTTAATTTAAAAATATTAAGCATAAAACTGTATAAGATCTTCCTGCTGAGATAAACTGTTCAATTTAACTTGTGCTCAAGCAGCAGCTGTCAGAAATTATCTTGTGCCTAGTGGTTTTTATTCTCACCTTATGCCCTTTCCTGCCAGAGTCCCACTGTGGGATGATAAAGTATATCTTATGAGGCTTTATTGCTTAAATGGTACCTGAGGCAAGATGAGCATTGGTAGCTGAGGGTTAGCTCCTGACTGAATGATGCCTTTCATTGTGTAATGATCAACTTTTAAAAATTGGTGGTTTGAGCCAAAGTAAAATAAAAATCTGTGGATTATAGCTAGCTGCATTCTTTTTGTGGGCATTTTTATTACTTGGGATTATAGAGCTAAAGATTCAAGGAATTGCCTGTTAAGCTTAGCACTTTACCAGTGAAAAAAACAGAAATACTTAACTAGTAGATGGAGATAAAGGAATGCTGTTTCAACATTTGTTATGAGATATAATTAATTTCTTAATGATTAGGCATACTAAAGGAAATGTTGGTGTTGCAATGTCAAATTGTTGAGACTGAAAAATCATTGACTTTTTTCTTCTGAATGTATTGATCCATGCTGAGGAAAATCTTTCTATATCAAAGTAGCAGTGGGATTATGACTAGAAAATACTATAAGATGATAGACTTGTTATTTATTTGTAATGTTAAATGATTTTTTTCTTTTACTTAATATCCCTCCAAATCTGTTACTTTAACTTATAGAACTTAGGAAAACTTGAAAGAGGACAGTGAATGCCACACACTTAATTCAGACAAACTGAATTCTTTTTTTATGCTAATTATACTTAGTAATAATCATTCCTTTTCTGTGAAAGGCCATTGCTGCAGATTCTATAAACACACCAAGTTAACCATTTGGCTTGTCAACAAGGGGGTTTGAGTAACAAGGATGGTATTTCTTATTTACATATACATCAAAAGTATTTGTATGCTAAGTCATCCTCCAGCAATAGTAACTGCACAATGAAAACATTTCAATGCTCTCTGCTTTGGCACTGACCACTAGTATGTAGAGAAAACTCAATTTTTCTGCACCTCAACTTTTTAGAATTAAGCTAGAATGGTTATGTAAATATTCTCAGTTGTCCAGGTGTTGTCCCTTTTTCATCTCTGTATGTGGTAGGCATCTCATCAAGGAGCCATTTCCAGGCTGTTTGAATCTCTTATTATTCCTTTTGTGTTTTTTCCTCTAAAGGTGTGTGTATGACTTTAGGAAAGTCAGTATTCGTCCTTTCTGGCTGTCCTGATCAACATTTCTTTCTCCTCAGCTTCCCTCCATCACACAGTAGGTATTTAAGTAAATGTACAGTGAGAGCAAATAAATACTTTGATTTATTTATAAACATGGACATATAAAATCACATTTTTCTTCAATCTACCTTTTACCAGTTTTTATTTGGTTTGTATCAGGGGTTTCACAGATCTAGTGCCAGCCATTAGCAGCCTAGTAATAAAGAAAAAGAGATTTTTTTTTTTCAGTCTAAGGATTATAGGATACCTTAAAGGGGGCATTGAGTAAACATGCCAACAGAAAAGACCACACTACATAAGTATATTGCATAAATCACAAGGGGTTTTGTCAAACATGACCATGTACCAATCCTGCTTGTGTTTTGAATTTCATTTGTTGGTTGCATAAAGGAGTCAAGTGTAGTAAAACTGGCAAGCAACTGTATTTCCCATCCAGCCTTATCTTTGTTCCTTTTGTCCTTCAGATAGAACTTTTCTTGCCTTTTTATAAAATCCAGCCAGTTTTCTTTCTTTCTCATTTTCTTCTTCCTGTCCTCAAAAACTGAGCTGAGCTGAGACTAGTGAACTTTTTTATATTTCTTAGCAGTTGCTTTTCAAAAGGTCAGCATGGTACTAAGGCAAGTATTTATAGGTCCCTATGGGTTCTGGGTATCTTGTGGTGGAATGAAGTGGGAGAGAAGGACAAATGGTGGCCCTTAAAGCATATCTAGAACAGTAAACCTTTATTTCTTTTTTAGGACTCTCTTTGCAAGCTCAGTACTTAACCTGGCTGAACTGACTGCCCTTCGGCCTGATCTGGGAAAACTGAAAAAGATCTTGTACTTCCATGAAAACCAGTTGGTATATCCTGTCAAGAAATATCAGGAGAGAGATTTTCAATATGGATACAACCAAATTCTTTCATGGTAAGTATAGATTATATATAATTTGGTCTTTGTCATCTTTCCTTTCCTTTTCTCAAAAAAGATTTATAGGGGTGGGGGTTGCATATACACAGGCTAGAAGAGGGTGGGCAATAGATGCCTTTTGTCATTCTCTGCCTGTTCCTTTGAGACAGAGTCTCTCCCTAAATCTGAGGCACCTGTTTTTCTCTGTTGGTCTTGAAACTAGCAAGTACCAGAGTTCTTTGCATCCTTGCCCTTCTAAGAGCTGTGTTATAGGCAGGTACTAGATGCCACTGCTTGCTATTTGGGTGCTTGGGTCTGAACTTGGATCCTCATGCTTTTGATGCAGTTTCTTTTTTACTGATGAGCAATTTTTCCTGATCCCATATTTTCCTTTTTAGATGGTTAGTTTATAAATCTTGAGACCACTGTAAATCTGTAAGCATATTGAGGCAGGTACAGGTGTTTAAAGATTCCTTCTATAATATTATTATTTATATTTCTGCAGGGTTTATAATAACACTGCTATTCATTTTATGAAATACATATATACATACTTAGACTAATCATTCAATTATACCTTGAACCAGTTATCTTACTGTTTTACATAACATTCAAAGTAAAATATAAATTGTTGACAAGGATCTGTACTCCTTGTTTCCTTGACTTATTATTTAAATTGTAGAAAAACCAACAAGTTCTTTTACCAGCTGCTTTTGCTGTATTCAGCTGAAATTTAATAGAGAAGTTAAAATTCAATAGTCAAAGGTTTTTGTAGCTCCTACTTTTTTGTTGTTGGCTTTATCTTTTTGCTTCTAAGATAGAAACTGTAGAAAATAGAATGTGAATGTTTTAGTGTTTCTCTTCCCTTCTCCCACTGGATCTTCTGAAATGACAGTCTGAAAATACGTGCCATTTCAAAGGTAAAGGCTTTGTCTATTGTCACTCCAATATAGTGTTTCTTCTGATGCTTACTGAAAGAAGTTCATTAACAACTACATACCAGCTTTCCTGTAAATCTTTTGCATGATACCAGTCTCATGGAATCAATTTGGAAGTTATTGTATACACATCACACACCTTTATTAGTAATTATTCACTATAGAGATTGATAATTTGTTTGAACAGACCTTGCTAGTCTGTTCCTTAGTTTAGTTGACATAGAAATACAGATATAATGGTTCTAATTGTTTTGAGCATTTTGTTTTTCTGCAGTCCTTTTTACAGGCTGCTTAGATTGGGAGGGAACACTGCTATCAAAACAGTGGAACTGCTGCAGTCAAATATCTCAAAAAGCAACCATTCAAAATTTCATAATAAAATCAAAATGCTTCATTTTTTCTTGAAATGGTAACAGGAAAATATGTTTTAAAATGAAAATGAGGGGCTGGAGAGATGGCTCATAAGTTGAGAGCACTGGCTGCTCTTCCAGAAGACCCAGGTTCAGTTTCCACATGGAAGCTCACCCCTGTCTGTAACTCCCGTTCCAGAGCTTCTGACATCCTCTCTCAGGCATACATGCAGGCAAAACACCAATGAACATAACATGAAAGTATATTTTTATGTATTTAAATATATGAGAATGAAATTCCCTTGTACTCTTATCAATATGTAAAATATTGGTAATATTCTTGTGATTTCTAGAATTAGTTCCATTTTATTTTTCAGATACTATGGTTTTATTACTCTTGAGAAACCACAAGGGAGGAATTAAGTATTTTTTCCTTTATGTGTGGCCTTGAAGTTAATGGAAGTTACACCCACTCATATCAGGGAAGAAATATGTGAAAAAGTATAGTTCTATAGACTAATGTGAATCTTTAACAACATTGTTAAATATTTTAGATTAATAGTAGTTGGATGATATTAAATTACTACTATTTAGATTAATAGTAGGCAGATATTAAATAAAAAAAATTAGCTCACTGCCCCTCTTCTCTTTTACAAATAATTGTTTTTCCTCATAAGGAGAGATACTGAAAACTTGAGTTTTCATCTTTTCTCCTTTCAAGAGGATAAGCTGATAGAAAAGCTTGGGGAGAGATAACTGGGCTACATCATCACTTAGCTTCGTAATAGGAGAAAAAATTTTCACAGTTGTCCAGAGGAAAAATAAGAATGTCAGAAAGCAGTTCTGTTCCAGTTTCTTTGAAAAGTACAGGTTCTTCTTGAAATGCTTCTTCAGCTTTCTTGCTGACTTCTGCTTTTGCTGGCATGGTCAGCTTTCTTCCTGGATTGTGTGGCAGTTCAGGATGTTAAAGATGACGGACATAAGCCATCACCTTAGTTAGAGGTTTCACTAACCCTCTGACTTATGAACACATGCTGTAACTATATATTATGACCTGTTGGTCACTATTACAATATATGAGAAATGGTACAAACAGACTAGCTATAAAACATTTTTCAACCTTTAGTATATTATTGTATTGGCTTCCTATTGCTTAGTTTTTTGTCAGCACTTTTGTGATACCCCTTTGTGTTATCTGTGTTATTGTTGCTACATTCCCCAAATTTCACTAGGTAGGAGCTAAAAAACAAACAAACAAACAAACAAAGAAAAAAAAAAACAGGCAAAAGCAGTTTTAGAGGGGAAGCATAGGAATGGAAGTGAATATGTCTTTCGTTGGGTGTTTATTCTGTGGTGTACTAATAATAGCAAACATGCCTGTCTAGGTGAGTATGTTGTAAACTAAGCCAATTATTATCTTTGGCACTCACTTTTTATTTATAAGCTCTACTTGCTATTATGTTTTTTATTTCCTTATGGACATGCATGCCTTTTTCCAGTCTTGTGAATGTATTAATTTTGGGATGAAATATAGCTACTTTGTCATGTTTACCTTCTTACGGAATTGTCCAGTAATGCTGAATTGTTGGTAAAACAAATAAGATGTTCTGTGATAAATATCATGCCCAAAAGCAACTTGGGGAGAATAGGGTTTATCTCCTTTTACCAGTCACAATTCATCATCCAGTAAATTCAGAGAAAGATCTCCAACTGGAAGTAGTAATCGAGGAATGCTGCTCACTGACTTGACCCCAGGCCTCCTTTTACATAGCCCATACCCACCTCAGGATGGCATTACCCCCAGTGTGCTGCACCCTTCCAAAATTAATTAGTAATCAAAAAATGCCATGCAAACAATTTTTATATCTAGTCTGATGGAGGCAGTGCTACAACTTAAGTTCCCTATTTGCAGGTGTATCAAGTTGAAAACCAAGATTGCTATCATAGATATTTTCAAGAATCAAATCTTATAAATACATTTTTGTTCATGTTACACTTCTAGGTTTTTATCCAGCATATCCACAGCTACCATTAGTATTCATTGGTGTTGAAATAGACATTAAGAAAATTACTGTTACACTTAATCATCTGCTTTCACATTTTCTTTAAATGAAGGAAGATGGTCAATTTGTTGAAATCAATCATCAATATTTTATTTCTTTTGTTTATTTCTAAAGATCAATGATTGTGTTCATCTATATATTCCTTTTATGTAATAAATCCTAATAATGTGGATATCTAGACTATTTTACTATTTTTTTCAACTTCCGTGACTGTCCTAAGCATTCCATAATAGTGAAATAAATTTAGAGATACCATCACTCCATGTAGCACCAGGAATTAAAAACAATAACATTTCTTCAAACAAAGGCTAAAAGTAGAAATGGACTTTAACTGAATAGTGCTGAAGGTATTGTGACCCCATAGGAGAAGCCTCATGAGTGTTAGTTCACTCGGAGATGGGGAAGAAGCTATCTAACTCTTAATGAATTTGCATTTGCCTTTTCTCTTTACAGTCTCGTGGCTGATGTGGTGGTATTCAATTCCATTTTTAATATGGAATCATTTCTCACTTCCATTGGAAAGTTCCTGAAGCTCATTCCTGATCACAGACCTAAGGATCTGGAAAGCATAATCAGACCGAAGTGTCAAGTTATTTATTTTCCCATCAGGTTTCCTGATGTGAGCAGGTCAGTGTGTTTGACAGTGTTTTTGACATTTAATCATAAATCAAGTATATAGAAATTGATATCCTTTTTGCTAACTTTAACTTTTCATGTAAGTAGGGTTAAATAGATAATTGAATTCTATCTCCTCTCCTCCCATTGCCCACCCCATTTAATCCTTCTATCCGATTTCCCCTTTGTTTCTTCATAATGCTAAATTCTATTTTCCCTTCCTTGGGAGATCCTCTCATTCCCCCTGTTTCCTCAATAGGTACCTGACCTCTGGTTATTCAGACATTCCAGAATCTTAAAAGATAACATCCAAATGTAAGAAAAAATATACAATATTTGTCCTTTGGGGTCTGAGTTACCCTACTCAGGATGATTTTTCTAGCTCTACCCATTTACTTTCAAATTTCGTAATTTTGTTTTTCTTAACTCCTAAATAATACTTCATTGTGTAAATGTACCACATTTTCATCATCCATTCATCAGTTACACTCCCACTAACAATGAGTAAATATTTCCCTTTCCTACATCCTCACTAGCATGTATTATTAATCTTGGCCATTCTGGCTAGGGTAAGATGAAACCTCAAAGTACTTTGAATTTACATTTCCCTGATATATAAGGATTTTGAGCATTTTTATGTTTCTCAACAATTTCTGTTATATCATTTCAGAACTTTCACTTCCGGTCTATAACCCATTTTAAAATTGGGGTATTTTTTTTCTTGATGTTCAGTTTTATTCTCCTCCAATCCTCTCTCAAGTATATTTGTAAAGATTTTTGTTCCATTCCTTAGATTGCCTCTTTGAATGATTGTGTCCTTTGCTCTACAGAAACTTTTTTATCTTCCAGTGGCCCCATTTTTAAATTGTTGACTTTAATGCCTATGCTATTAGTGTCTTCTTCAGAAAGTCCTTTCCTGTGCCAATGAGTTCAATCTGACTCCATACTTTTTCTTCTGTTAGGATTAGGTTGTCTAGTCTTATTCTGAGGTCTCTGATTCATTTGGAGTTTGTGTTTATACAATGTGGTGATAAATATGGACTATTTTCAGTTTTCTAAAAACACTGTCTATTTGAGTAGCACCATTTGTTGAAAATGCTATCTTTTTTTCAATGTGTATTTTTGGCTTCTTTGTCAAAAAACAGGTGCCTTTAGGTTTGTCGAATTATGTCTAGGTCTTCATTTCTATGCCATACATTTTAAAAAATTACTACAACTTAAAATCTGGAATGGTGATACACTAGCAATTTCTTTTATATTAAATATTGTTTTACTAATCCTGAGATTTTTCTTTGCTTATGGTGTTTAATGTTTTTTAAGTGAAAAATTGTGTTGGAATTTTGGTGGAGATTTCATTGTGGTCAATTTTTGAGAAAGCTCCATACACTACAGAGAAGAAAGTATATTCTTTGGGATCTGGTGAATGTAAATGTGCTTTAGTTTTATTTGACTTATGGCCTTAATTTAACTTCAGCATCTCTCAGTTTAGTTTTTATCTGGATGCCCTGTCTCTTGGCCTGAATGGAGTATTGAAATCTCCCACTATTTCAGTGTTAAGGCTGTACTGGTTAGCTGTACTGGTTAGCTGTACTGGTATTTCTTTTATGAACTTACATATCCTCGTGTGTGGTGCATACATTTTTAGAATTTTAATATCATTTCGGTAGGTTTTTCTTTGAAGGCTATGTAGAATCCTCCCCATCTCTTCTGATTAGGTTTGGTTTGAAGTCTTATTTTGTAAGATATTAAAATAGCTATGCCTGCTTGCTTCTTGGTTCTGTTCGCTTTTAATACTTTTTCCATCCTTTTACCCCAAATGGTTTCTGGGTTTCTGTGCTTAATCATGAGGTGTGTGTATTCTTTTTATTGGGCAGTGAAGACTATTAATACTGAGTATTGTCATTTTGCAGTGTTTATTATTTCCTGTTATTTTGTTGGTTTGTTTCTACCTTTTTTTTTTTTCTTCTGGGGTTATTTATTTCTTTCATTCTTTTGGGTATAGTTGCCCTTCTCTTCAGACTGGAATTTTCTCTCTAGTCCTTTCTGTAGAACTGGCTTAGTAGACAGAATGAGCTTACATTTGTTTTTCCATTTTATGTTTTTTGTTTCTTCCTTGCTTGTATTTGATAGTTTAGCTGGGTCGAGTCTGGGATAGCATTTTTGATCTTTCAAAATGTGCAAAACACTAGTCTAGGCCATTCTGAGTTTCAGAGTTTCCATTAGAAAACCAAGTGCTATTCCACTTGACCTGCCTTTTTATGTGGCTTAGTCTTTTCCCCTTGAAGTTTTTAATATCTTTTCTTTGAGCCATACATTTAGTGTTTTATTTACTATGTATCTGAGGAATTTCTTTTCTGTTCTTGTCTATTTGGTATTTCCTATGCCTCTTGTATCTTGATAGGTCTCTCTTTATTTTGGAGAAATTTTATTATGTGATTTAGTTAAAAATATTTGCTGGGTTTCTTCTGTCCCTATTATTCATAGGTTTGGTCTTCCATCTTGGATTTTCTGCTTGGAATTTTTCATATTTAACATTTTCCTTGAGTGAGCTACCTATTTCTTCTACTTTGTTTTCAAGACTTGAAATTCTCATATCTGTCTTTTAGTCTGGTTGTGAGACTTACCTCTGTACTTGATACTTGACATCCTGAATTTTTCATTTAGAATTTTATTTTAATTTGTGTTTCTCTTCATGATTCTATTTCTCTGTTAAATTCTATATTCCTTCAACTGTTAAGGCATTTATTCATATCCTCCTTAATGTCCTTGAATGTTATAATTGCTATTTTACAGTCATTGTCTTGTGCTTCAGCTGAATTGTTTTTCTTGGGTTCTATTCCATTGAGGTTTTTGGAGGAGGTATAATGTATTGCTTTCTCTTGTGTTTTTGCTCTGCGGTCTAGGCATCTGGAGTTTGAACATTTGAGGTATACTTAGTGTTGATATGTGGTTTTGCCTTTGATAGGTGGTTGTTCCATTCTTTCTTTGTTGTTGCCCAGTCTGGGTCATAGTAAATTGCCTGTGGGTCCCTAGTAGAGATTTTTTCTGCAAGTGTATTGGGAGTCACTAAGGAAATGGTGATGGTCTAGAAGGAATGTTTGGGTCCTAACTAAGTGAGGTAGATTATGATCCTTGTTCAAGAGCCGTTTTGAACCCTGTCCCATGTGAAGGGCTAGAGGAAAGGCTGATAGAGGCAGCTATGATAGACTAGGAGAACCCTGGACCAAGAGGCCTGTCCTAAGGGCTGGAAAGGGTTGGGAGGAGCTTCTCAGGCAGGTAAGCAGCAGGTCTAAGTAGTCTTCAGAGACAGGAATGGTAAGGGAAGGAGGATAAAGGGAGTTTACCTTACACCAGCCAAGTGTTGCTTCAGTGGTCCTGCAAATAGGAAGCTTTGTGAGTCAGCAGGGAGTCACACAGGCATGGAGATGGGCTCATAGGAGAGGTTGAAGTTGTGTGTGGTAAGGTAAATAAAATGTCTGCATCAAGAGACCCAGTCCTAAAGGGATGGAGGTAGGCAGGGAGGCAGCTCTCAGGTAGATTGTCAGCAGCAGGTCTAAGGGTAGTCTGCAGAGAGAATGGAGGTGGGGAAGGAAGATAAAGGTAGTCTACCTGAGACTCAGCCAAGTGTGGTGGCTGTGGATCTCTGACTAGAGACCTTATCTGTTATCTTGATACTAATTTATTATAGTCTCTATAGTCAGTATTTGACTGGTGCATTATATCAAATCAAGTTACCTATATCAAATCAAGTTAGTGTGTCACAAAATTTAAGTTGTGCTCAGTTATCCATACCATGCTCAGTTCTTACTGTATGGACAGAAGCTTAGAGAAATAGAGCCTGGCTTATAGTCACCTGTCTTTATTGCTGACTGGATTAAGTCTTGGTATCTGACTTCTGATTGAAATTTCTGTTTAGAGTTCTTCTAACCATGATAGATCACTTTTAAATTATTGTTGATAGTTTATTTAATAATTTAAAAACTGTATAGCCAAATGAAGCTTCTATCACAATCAGTTTTCAAATATGGATGTGCATTTTCGAGTATATGTATATGTATGTGTGTGTGTGTGTGTGTGTGTGTGTGTGTGTGGGTGTGTGTATGTGTGTGTGCTAGTACACTGTCATGTCTTCTTATCCGTACAGGCTTAGTTCTGTGACATTGCAAGGATATCAAAATTTGCACATGCTAAAGTTTCTTATGTATAATGTTATGGTATTTGCATTTAACTTATGTACATTTTCCTGTGTATTTTACATTATTTCTAGAAAGTATTTCATAATAGATATTAACCATTTGAGAATGGCGAAGTTGATGTTTGGCCACATATACACATATTTTTTCTTGATGCCCATGTTCTAGCCTATGGCTAGTGCCATTGGATGACAATGAGGCAGGTTCTTTAAGAGTTAAGACTACATTTACCTTACTTCATAGGGGTGATGTAGTGATTGAAGGAATCCAGGCATTCCTGCTGGTTCCAGGACTACCTGGTATATAACAGACCTCTAAATTCAAGACCATTTCATCATTAACTCCTTCATTAACTGGCACATCTGTTTCCACCAGAATATACAGAACTGTCTCTGTCACACCCCCTATCTCCCCACAGTCAACTCTGTCAAGAGGTTTAATACAATTAGAGAGGAAGGTTTGCTGATTTTCTTTGTTACTTCTGCTCAAACAATCCTTTGACTAGATGTGCTGTCCAATAATTGATCCAACTTCTCACTTTTCTTTTTGTCTAATTTTGTCTTTCATTATCCAACTTAATGTTCCATCATTTATTTACTATTATTTGACTAGCTTTTGTAGTTGTGATTTTTCTTTGGGGTATCAACTAGCTCTCAAATAAAGACACTGAGACTTGGTATTAGTTATGAATATTAAGCCTTAGCTTAGGCTTGTCCCACTAGCTCTTTTAACTTTAATTAAACAGGTTTCTATTCATCTACATTTTTCCTTGTGTGTGTATTTTTTTTAAATATTTCTTTCATTCTGTATGTCCTATTT